AACTGATCAAAAATCTACAAGTGACATCCTGTTTATCCTTGCTGGAGGGGCAATAACTTGGAAAAGTAAAAAAATCAACAAACAATCACTTGGTTGACAAATGAGACAGAATACGTGTATATGGCCTTATCTGCTGCAACAAAAGATCAACAGATTGAAGATATCAAGAAAAACAACAAAGGTGCCATCAACTTAAGTAATAACTGTGAATTTCATGCTAGGAATAAATATATTGATGTACTGTACAGTATAACACCATGTGATCTGTGGCATGTTATAAATAATAAATAACGAAATAAAAATATTGAAACTTGACACAAAGGAAATGGTAGCTGATTCTCTCACAAAGGCTGTACCTGCAGATAAATTCTATTAATACTATTTCTCAATACTTGAACATTAAAGATTCACCACTTGACAATTGTGGGAATGTTGTAGCAGCATAGTTAGAGTTGAAGAGTATGTGGAGCCAGAGACAAGGTGAGTCTGTAGGTTCAATACAAGCTATTCTTTATAATTTCCAAAAGAAAAACAAATTGATTTGTAAAAGCAGATTTAATTATTGAGTATTTTAAATGAAAAATTACATTTGAAGCTAAAGATTATAGCAGGTAAGGTGAAGCCATGGCAAAGAGCAGGTAGAGCCATCTGCCTCCAATGGAAGCTAGAAGGGGCTGGTCTACTTCAATGAAATGTTGAAAGGTTAGATTTATGATGCACTCTTTATGCATTATGTAGTAGGTGACTCACCCCACTCCGTTCCATTCTTCTAGGATGAGTCACCCCCAACTACTTATTTGTCAAGATAGTTGAATAAAGTCATGAGCTGTGCTTTTGTATGTGTGTGCATGTGCATGTTTCTGTCCCTGTGTCAAATATAGCATGCATTTCAATCCACCTCCATCAATGCCCTCCTTTTGAGTAACATTTTAATTGTTTGTTTTTATTTAATTTTATTTTATTATCTCTGAAATATTGTTGGCAAGCAAGGTTTCAATATTTTACTTTCTTATTTTAAAGTAATAGCTTTGTTTTATTACTCATTAAAGTAACAGAAAAAGGAAGCAGTGGCGTGCCGTCATTAGAAGCGGTGGAAGCGCCGCTTCCCTTGTATTTTCTAAAAAATAAATACATATTAATTTTAATTATATGAAAATAATCGCACAATATTTTATTATAACCGCATTATGTATCTTATTACAACTTTCTATACTACACATGAAAAAAAAAAAAAAGATTGCTATTGTATATTCAAATATTAGTGGCGGAGTGGAATCTCTGTATTGTCAGATTCCAAAAAGCCAGATTTGCGCACGCGCTTTACAGAGCACCAACCTCACCCAGTTTAGCCGGTGGAAGCCTACGACCTTGGGTTGATGCTAAACATATAATGCTTCCAATTCTATCCGTGACTGGTTCCAGGCTGTTAGCCGCCTGACCGCTAAATATTTGGCCGATTACGTGAATAATGAGTAGATTTATAACTTAACCCAACCAATAAGAATTTACTGGTATGTTTTTACGATAGTTCCGTATAGTTAACAGGAGTTTAAAAAATCCATTAAAATATTTGATATATTTATTCCACTCTCCGATTTTATATTACTCATGGATTTCAATGTTAAACCAGTGATATTACGATTTCGTATGTCCCATCTTTAAGGGGATGTAGAAAAAAAGTGTACAATTCTTGTATAATGTTAAAAAATTAACCGTTACTTTGGCATCATCATTTACAACTAAATTTAATGAATGAGAGAGATGCACAAAGTACAGAAAAAGCTCTAGAATTTATTTTCCTTAAATTTACAATTTATGTATCCATTTGTCATAAAAATTTGTCTTTCCACTTTTTCCCGAGACTACAAATATTCGAGTACAAAGTAACCGGTTTAAACTAATTTCTACTTAAGAAGTAGTTATATAATTAAGCGATTAGGGAATTGGGGACATAAACAAAACCCTGACGAAAGAGCCAAAATTTTACTTAAACAAAAGCCTAACTGAACCAATCTCTAGCCGAGTACAGTGGGGACTGATTTCTTCGAAATATTAGATGTAATAAAGACAGACATTTTTCCAGTTCAATGAGAGTGACCGAAAAGTTGTAAATTTTGGAAATTTCCATGGACAACACCTGGTCCTAAAACAAATTAGAAAACAAACGATGGACAATCTATTAAGTTTAACATATTTAGACTTTTACAGCTATGATGAGAAATGTTTAAAATTTACAAGAACCCTGTCACGTCTTTTGACATTTGACATTGACCGGTATCGGTATCCTCAGGATTTGGCAGCCCACATGCATGTACACACCGCACACCTAGCAGGACCATCTCTGATTCCACTCGTAGGGAGCTATTTGACTAAGTGGTTAAGATTTAAAGAGTAAAAAATATTTTGTTATTTTTATGTACGTTTCATTACAAAGCTATATTTAATTATAATTTTCTTTAAAAGTATATTCATATAATTGAAGAATGTTTTGTACCAGGTATGTATATCCACCACACATTTTGTTTCACCGAGTAAGTTTTTATAATTTTATTTTTAATTTTAGCCCTTATATCATGACTAGTGATTTGGAATGTAATTGCGATATTGAAAATTTATTTTAAAAAAGTTTTGGCTCGAGATTATATAATGAAAAATGAAAACATTATTAAAAGAGCAAGGCCAATGCCTAAGTTAAATATAAACGCTTCAATAAAAAAATTTGTTCGACATTTTCATGATAAAATGGCTCTGTAAATGCATAAAAATGCAAAAATTGCTTTGTTGGCTTGCCTACTATTTCCAAATGAAATTAGTGTGTGGAATAAGAATGGCTTTGACAATTTAGCTGGCAAAAGACACGAAAAATCGTCGATTCTTCTGTATTTGAAGCAATTTAGAAATCTAAGCAGAATAAAATTTAACATTAGTAAATAATATAAAATAAATATTGAAAATTATAACGAAATAGTTATGGTTAATAGATATATTATATCTAAATATATAGATGTTATATGTTTTTATCAAAGCAAGAATTGGCATTTAGAGGGCAAAGGAAACCTATTGAAACTAATAACAGAGGTAATTATATTGAACTTGTTTATTTATTAATTAAGTACGTCAGATAAATAATCTATTAAAAATACATTTAAAGAAAGAATTAACTGATTGCCCCTGGAAGTCGGCTTTTTATAGAAACACAGCTTCCCTATCATCAAATGTCACAGCACGCCCCTGAAAGGAAGACACTATTAATTAGATGAAACAAGCAAATAAAATTTAGAGGCGTAATTAGGGTAGCATTTGCAACAATTGATAATAATTCTAACATTGACTTTAAAACCCTATTTATTGTCTATTTAATGTGTTAAAATTTACAATTATCCAACAAATATTTATAACAAACTACTTTGCTCAGACATTGTACAATGGAAACATTTATAACAATGTCCTTCTTTTTTGTACAAGAAAGTTGGCAACCTCAGTATGACACATTTTTGTCATTTGGTAGGCATTTGTATCTTCTAAACATATAGTTTAAGAGTATTAGTATTCCTATATTTTTTTACTTATTTTATAATTACATCTACAATGAAATGTAATATAAAAATGTTTTAATCTTTGAGATGATACTTTCTAAACTGCATACAATAAGGTGACCACCCATCCTACTGTGGGAGGACATGTCCTACAATTAAACCTTTTGTCCTACATCCTATCGCCTAACGGAAATGTCCTACTTTCACAGATAACTACTTCTGGGCCAATAGGTAGTCATTAATAATAACAATAAACTTTTTTTTTTTTTCATATTTCTATATTAAATAATGGGTACAATTGCAACAAAGAATAGTATTTAAAACAACAAGAGTAGTATATCAATTTAAAATTATTTAATTATCAATTTTTAGTGTTTTGTGGTTTTTTTTACTACTGATTTTTATTGTTTTAAGCTGGGTTGTCAAATGTCCTACTGGGAAACATTATAAAACTTCAAATGTCCTACTTTAACTATGTCAATATCTGGTCACCCTAGCATACAACTAAGTGTTATATTTCAGCAGCTGCTCCAGAGGCATGAAATATACAATGCTGGAATTGTGCAAAAGTTTTATTTCTGTTCTAGCAATTTTCTGTGGGGTACACACTATCATGAGTTATATGTCACCACTGGTTATCCATACAAAATTACAATACTTGTCTTTGATGGACTTTGAAGAAAGGCTTGCTGAAAAAATTCATCATTAATTTAAAATTTAGTTTTATTAAGTAATAGAATTCCTATTAATTCACTACTGGCATTTATAATTGAAATGAGTGTTAGATTAGTAAAGATTTTGTATATATGTTTATCATCAATGTGTTTGAAGTTAAAAAGTATAGAAAGAAACCTGAATACTTTTTGTAATATTTATGATTCTCTAGAACTAACTTTTGTTATGTTGTTCATATTAGTATGAATTCTATGAGTTGTGAAAAAAAAGAAAGTTAAGCAAAAAGATGTAAACTTGAAAATATTACAATCTTGTGAAGCTTCAATTCTTATAAGTTTACAGAAAAATTATTGTTAGATAAGATTATTAAGGAGAAGAATGTAGATTTTTTCTTTGATATAAGCAGTTGGTAATAGAGATGATGGATACAGTTTTTTTTTAGAGTTATAAAGATTGAAATATTTGCTAATGCATAATATTAGGTTTTGTTTTTATAATGTTATTATAGCTATAAATGATCATATCATTGGATTTTCAAATGTTAGAATATGGAAATTTAGTAATTTTTTGATTTTATTTTGAACATGAATAGTATTTGGCTTATATTATTATGTATGCATGATGATAAAGCTTTGTTTTTAAGTTTCTTGCACTGTGCTTATTTAAATAGTTAACACCCATTTTAAATTATTTTTATGTTATGATAAATATTACCATAATTAACATTTATGGTTTCATTTAATTAAATTTTAACAAATTAAAAATATTACATAAATAAATATTACTCACCACTGCCATTTTGCATAGCAAGAATATGTGGAGAGGTTTCTGATTGGAACTGAGACCTCTCAATTGGTCCTGTAATTCCTGTTCTATCTGATGTAGGTGGAGAGGACATAGAAGATGCATATTGGCCTGCATGATACAATATATATTCATTAATCTGTTTATTTAATTTGTAAATTAAATATATTTACTCTTAATTTGTTACCATTTTAAAATTAAAGACATGAAAATGTAATAAAATTATGATTTTTTTATTATGTCCATATAATTCAATATCATCTTAATTCATCATTGACTTTTTAATATTTTAATCAATTAATTGGCTTGATTGGCAATTGGATTGATTAATTAGTGATTGATCATATTAAGATGATAAATGGGAAAATTTTTCTAAATACTTCATAACATGATTAAAATAGATATGCTATTTATATACTTTTTTTGCATCAATTATTAATGTACTTGAATAAATATATAAAAACAATAAATATTACATTTAAAGTATTAAATTAATTACAAATTTAATTTTAAAAATTAATTAAATATAATAAATAATTAAATAATGTACAAAAATACAAACCAAAACAAGATGATTCAGCAATGGAAAATAACTAAAATTTACAGGCTTGTTTAAAACTTATTATTTCCCCCAATAAGATATAAATAGTAAAAGTTTTGACACATCATATACAAGATATGTCAAAATATTTGTGCCCACTGTACAGTAGACAGTTAGTCAAAATATAATAAATGTTATAGTAATGGATAGCAGAAATGAAAACTTTCTTGAATCAATGACTAATGATTTTAAACAAAAAAAACTGCAAATGAATATTGTTGAATAAAATAAATATAATTACAGGGAAATCCTGGTAGTTATAGTTCTGATTAACACAATTCTTGAGTTACTGATTTGATACTAAAACCCTGATTATTTTCCCAAAAATTTGAGTTATTGCAATTTTTTGCATCAAATGAAAGTTTCATTTAGTATTTTTTAGATCAAAACATGAAATATTTTTTTTTTAACAATTTCACAACAGTGCAATATATTATGATATTCAATCAAATTTCTTTTTTCACTTAATACATACAAAACTTAAAACAAAACATCATTTTTTGCAATCATTTCAAGACATTGAAGAATTTTAACAATACTTATTTATGATACATTGAGATTTATTGCATGTTCTCAATTATTCAACAATTTTTTTATTTCTGCCTGTAACATTTCTTCATTGACAGCTTTCCTAAATATACTGGGCAGGTGCTTAGTATGTTTAGAATCACTTAGATTCAAATTTTCTGATTGAAATTAAATTTGAACTGGTAACATCCAAAATCAATTGTATTCATTTTGCTACATAAATCTTGAATTTCTACTTCTGTTAATTTCAGATGATGCTCTTGGTCACTCAATAAAACCTAATAAACCATTATATCGAAATGTATAGTACATTATTTTAATAAACTGTAAGTTATTATTTTGTTGTAGACTTCTCTAAAAGATATCTTCATTTTCAATATTGTCAGTTTTAGAAACAAGAAATTTAAATAAAGTTTATAATAATAAAAGCAAAGTTTTTCAAGTTAGTAATAAAATTCAATTACATTTTAATTAGCATTATTGAAAGATACCATGACAACAGTTTCTGTATGCTGTTACAATATGCAGATAATAAAAATTCTTGAAATTATTTTATTTATTTTGCAGACATATATAAATATATGTATTATTAGACAATTATTATTAAATTGTCTCTATTCATTGCTGTATGGAATGCTTTCTAATAAATGAAATGAAATCAAATTTGGAAGATATGTACTCTAGAACCTATATAAGACAACCTGTGTTTAAAAAAAAATTATTTTAGTACAAAGAAAAAGTGAATCTCTCCTCTCTTTGCACATTTGAGCATAGTACCATACATTAAATTGGAACAAGAGAGTCTATAGAGTAACTTTTTTCCTAATAGATTAATGTTATTTAATAGCTGTTCCTATTTTATCATCATTTTGGCATTGGAAATTTACCAAATGGGAATTTTGTATGCTTAATAAAATTACAGCTGATGAAAAATTTTAATTACCCATTGACTGAGCATAAACATCTGTAGATGCAAGATGATCTTTTTCTTATATCTAAAATTGGAATTAATTTTTTTACAAAATTGTATTACAGTATATCCACATTCTGAAAAACATATTCTCAGAATTAAATTATTTAAATCAGTTAGATTTCATCCAAAATGGCATTGAATAGAGGAAGTTTTAATTATAAACAGCTAACATCTGTACTAAGATTTAAAAAGTTAATAAGATTTTTAATAAATACAGTATAAAATAATACATAATTTTAAATTAATGAAGCTATATTCATTCTTTGATAAACAAACTCATTTTTATTTAATACTCAAATAAATATCACCTTTAGTGTTTCAACTAAAATTATCAAAGTATTAATTTATCAATTTGTTTTGTGTTTTAATTTAAAAAAAAAAGTTCCATATAATTTTAACTTATGAGATTTTACCTTCTATATTTCAATTTGACTCATGAAAATATTTTATAATAAAATTACCTGCATTAGATTTATTTTCTGATGGATGTTGTTTTCTCCTAGGCTTTGGATGAGGACGTTGGCTAATTGCTGCACTAACATTGCTGTCTGTGCTATATGGACTGGATGGTCTGGGTGCACGGTGCCGAGGGATATGTTTTTTCTCTACTAAAATATATATTTCATGTAAAAATTCCCTTATTGCATTATATTTTACTGTGTTTTTAAAGTTATGAGAAAATTATATTACTTAAGTTGAATTTCAAAATTTTGATGCCTCATTTAGAAATATATATTACATTTAAATAACTACAGACATAAAATCTCAAACTATTAATTATATTAATTTCAAATTTAGAAATGGAATTGTAAGATCCTGAATTACTAATTATATTTAATAATTCAGGATTTCATAATCCCATTTCTAAATTTGAAATTTTAACCTTATAAATACTGATTTTTATAAAATACAACTTATACATCTATAATCTTAAAAGGAAACATATTAATAGACAACTAATGTAAATAGAATTAAATAACACTACTAAATAACTTCTTTAGTTTAATTTCAATCTAAATGATGGATCTTTTTTCATTTTACTGAATATGATAGCTTAAATAAACAGTTATGTTTTAGATTATGAAACCAGCAATAGAATGCCAAGAATTAACATTTCCAAAGATATAAAATCTTATTTAACAAAGTTATGAAAGATCTAAATTCTCAAAAACTTTTAGAAATATAATAGTTCATTTTCATGAAAAAATCTTATTTAAAGTATTCCATTTTAGAACTAATTTAAAAAAAAAACAAATAAAAATGTTTCTACAGCAACATACTTTCAGGAATGATAGTTTAAATAGTTATGATTTTATTACAGTTAATATTTTTTAAAAAATAGATATATTTCAATCTGATGAGAATTCATAGTGGACATTTAAATTTTTTCTGTAATTTATTTCCACATATACTAGATATAGTTTAATTTATTAATTTTTCAATTCATTTAAAAAATCCAGAGATTTTCTGCAATGCGTTCAATTTAGTGTTATAAAACTTGAGGAAAATATTTTCACTTCATTTCAATATTTTCCTCAAGGGTTTCCTTCACTGTTTGTTAAGTTAATATAATAATTGCAAACCACAGTCATCCAGTCCTTTAGAACTTTTAAAGAGAGAATTTTTTCTATAATATATATAGTACATAAGAATTTACATTAATTTCAAATATATTCTAACAGTGCTATTCATTTCAATTAACAGTTAACAAATATGTTAAATCTAATTTTTTAATTAATAGTTATAATGAGTAGGATGGCTCTAGAGTTTCTAATTTCCCGGTCTTTAGCTTGTCCAGGGATTCCGTGAAAAAAGTGAACTGTTTTCTGGGATCCCAAGAAATCCAAGATATAATTAATTATTTTTAAGATATAAAATAAATCTTAAAATTGAATGATATAATTATTTTTCATTTTTAAGTAACTTAATACAACATGCAACCTCCAAAATAATAATATTGATAATACTGTGTAAAATATGTATAAAAAATTACTTTTGAGTTACGTAGAAATTTTCACAAATTGAAAATGTATATTAAAGTTTGTTGGAAACTGCTTACATCAAAAATGACTTTGAATTGAGTTGAAAATTTAAAGAAAAAAATGAACTTAGATTAAACTTCTAAGTTAGAAAGTAATTTTCTTTATTTAAATAAAACATAATACAAAATATTATTGTAAATTTTTATAATAAGATTTTAAAAAGCAAACATGATCATTACTCCGATCACTCAATTTGAATCTTATTTTACTAAAGAAAAGTCCTGCTACCGAGAATGCCATTTTTGATTCAATTGATGTGGGTGGAATCGTCTTTAATGCATTTAAGAGAAGATGGATGTTATGTGTTTTTTCACCTGAAGATTTCTAGTTCATTTTTGAGATGCATTATGGTATTTCTTTTGCCGTCTAGTATTCTCAATTTGTCTACCTCAGCTGCTTTAATAGTGGCATCGAACTTATAGCCCGATAATTCGGCACTTCCTTTGGCTTTAATAATTGGGTTTATGAAGAAAAACTTCATACTTTCACACTTTGTATTCATTTGTATCCTTGCCCAATTTGCACAACCTGGCATAATGCAGTTATTGAAGCTACTGGATATGGTTAAAAATAAAGACAGCATAATCACAATTATTCCAGATATTACAGGTTCTGACAAGTAAAGAATTTTCAGAGTCCTGTCACAAATAGGCTATATATTGATTATTGACAATCTGTGACATGCCATAATAAGCAAAAGTTTAAAAAACTAATAAGCAGGCTTAAAATTAATAAATACAAATGTATTCTGACAGTTTGTGAGTTAATTATACTTTCTATTTGCAAAATTTCCTCAACTTTAACACAAAATAAGAAGAAAGTGAATTTTTAAGAAATTTGCGAGATTTCCCAGGATGAGAATTTCCCGGGTTAAAAAACAGCCAGGATTCCCTTGGAGAAACCCTAGATGGCACCATATCAAATTAATAGTTGATGTCTAATAAACTTGGATAGTACACTTTTTCTTTCAAAAACGTTTTTTAGTGAATTTGTCATAAAAAATGCAGATTTTGCATCTTTTATGTACTCCAGGTATCTATCTGAAATGAACTAGACAATGGTGGCTTTAGACTTTGTGTCCCTAGAAATGTACTCACTTTTCTCTTTTCAGAAAAGTGAGTACATTTCTATTTCGGTTCTATTTGTGTCTTCATTCGGTTCTATTTGTGCTTCTTTTTTCTTAATCAGAATTAATTCCTTAACTCCTTTTTCTTCCAGTATGCTGTCCACTCTGAATTTCCAGTTTGAAAAATTAGCATCTGTGAGTATAGGGAGATTTAGTGAAATTCCTATTGCCACTAAGTTAGGTTCACTCAATTTGAGAATATATATTTTTTGACTTATCCAACACACTATTTTTGAAGGGTAATCTGGGCCATAACCTGTTGAAATTAAATAAAAGTGGTCCATACGCTTGGATATGACAACACTACACAAAGCAAAAGTCATAAAGGGCAGGATTTTATTGCTAATCTTTTAGAACAAAAAGACTATGGGTCAGCAAACCCTAGCAGTGGGTTTAGATAAGTAGCCCAATTTCAACACAATTTCAAAAGTATTAGCCATCACAATATCAAAAGTATTAGCCATCTTTTATAAATTTTAATTTGTATTCTAATTAAAAGAATTTACATTAAAACAGTAGTTTTTTCACTTTGTTTATTTTCTTATAAATCTTTTCTATGCTTTATTTTCTCCTTAATTCTTTTGGTGCTGTTTATTTAAAGCTTCCTGTACCTTCCAGATCTTTCAGATTATAGAGAAACATATTAAAATCTTTCCAAATCTTAATATGTTTTGAAGATAAACTTAACCAGTCCAAAAGTATTTAATTTTGATCTTAAAAAATCTCCTATTACTTTTATGACTTTAATAAAGTAGGTTTTTGTATAAAATATGAAAAGTTGGAGTATTACTTGAATTTTATGACAATTTATACACCCCACTGAATTTTCAACAGATTAAAGTATTAGAGTAAAATAGAATTCATCTATTTGTTGTAATATCATAGAGATTATCCTTTTAAAATGGTTGGAGAATTTCAAATATTTAACCTGCAATTATGGATTAATTTCCTAAATAAATGAAAGGAAGGAATGTATCTATATCTAAGGATTTGTGTAATAAAATATGAAAGAAAATAGATGGATTTAAAAATTATTCTTTAAGTATTCATTAACTTTAGTGTAAAAAAGGATTTTTCTAATCCAGATATGAAATATGTTAATGCATTAGCTTTTACCTAATTTTGTTTAATTGATTCTAATTATTTAACTAAGTTTTGTTACTTCAATTACAAGGGATCATTCAAATATGACATCTGTACTGAGGAGGGGAATATGTGAAAATTGTGTGACAGATTGTGACAGAGGATGGGGTGTTAGTAGAATGATGATGTACTGATGATTCTCAAAAATTTGTCTGTTTGAAATAATTTTTTTTTATCTAAATCATTATGCAAAAGTATTTGATCAATGATCACATAGCAAGTTCTTGCTTATTTAAGTACAGTAGTTGCACTTTAGTAGAAACACAATATGAAAGGATAATGGCAACAATTTAATCTTTACAGATACAGATTACAGATAAAGATACCACTGAAAGATACACCAGTATATAACATATTAGCTTTAGTTTAGGATGGGTCGGCAACCTTTCAGCAGTGTTGTGCCAATGTAAGTTATAGTGTTACTCCGAGTGCTGACATGATTCTACCAAGTTTATTATATATGTTATCAAAATTAATCCAGTTATAACAAACTTCAAAAATGTATAATTTTGAGGTTAAGTTGTTAATGAACTAATTTAAATATATGATGTTTAGTTTATTACTATTTCTATTTTAAGAGATAAAAATTCATGGAAATTATTCATTTAATTTTGAAATATTTTATATTCATCAAATTGTGATACAATTTCATTGTTTATCATTTTTGATTCTGATGAATTTGTTTTAAAAAATATTAAATTTCTCTCAATTCAATCTTACTGACTTGTTGATTTAAGCCAGTGTTGTATCATTTATTTTCTTTAATTCTAAGCTATATTGATGAAAGATTGTTCATAAAAATGAATTAGCTTTAACTTATTTATATTTGAGAAAATTATATAAATATATTAATTAATTTAATTTAATTTTAATTTTAAATTAATTTAATAAAACGATATAATAATTAACAAATTTTGTAAATTTATTATATTTATAAACAAATATGTAATGATGTAAAGGAGTTATAAAACAAGTTTTAAAATTTTTCTGCAATACAGCAAAATACAATAAATGGACTTTATTTAAAAATTTTTTAATATAATTTATATAAAAAGTAGTACTTAAAATAAAATAAAAAATATATCAAATATTACATAAAACAACACATATTTGTTTAGATATTAGAATAACCAAATGATCTGTTAGATTTTTTTTATTGAGTTATTTTAAATCTAATTAATAATTTCAAGAAAAGTAGTTTAGCTAGAGGTAGGTGGTTATGCTGCCATCTTATCATAAATTTAAGAATTATAACTAAATTAATTAACTCTGGAAGAAAAGAATTGGCCCAAAGCTAGACTTGTACTCACAACTCATGTTTACTGTCAAACCTATCTGGATCTTCATCCAATCTTCACTTCCAGAGTCTTTGATTAATTTAGAAATAAACCGTACTGGTCACTTACCATTGTGCTTATATCTATATTAATTAATAATTGTGGAAATGAAGATTGGATGAAGGTTCAGGTTGCATAAATGACAACATAACCATATGATAAGCAGGAGTTTCAGGTTCGAGTCCCACTTTGGACATGTCCTTTTCTTTCGGAATATTCTAAATTAAATTAAAATTAATTAATTTATTTATAAAGATGATATTTCAACAACCTACTTCTAGCCAAATTACTTTGTTTTGAATACTATCATATTGTATTGAATGTTATCATATGATTTGCTATCATATGATATGGTTATGAATGCTATCATATATTGTATGTGTTTACATATATTAATTATATAATTTAAATATGTTTTTCATTATGTTTTTAAAGTCACACATATTACATTATGATCTAATATAATTTTTAAAACTAAAAATATTGAAATTTTTTCAGAAGCATTCCAATGAAGCCTAATGGAGATAATTAATTTTAATTAACAACTACTAATAATTAATTAACAACAACTTTCCATTTATCACAGTTTAGCAATCTATAAAACAGATTATATTTTCCATAAATTTATATTTAAATTCTTTCTATTAAAAAATTATTTGTAGTTTTAAAAAGTTATTGTTATAGTAAGTTATTATATCTGTAACTAGTTCATTTTGAACTTAAAATAGCAGAAAACATCATATAAAACTATTTAAAAATCAAAAACTCATCCTCTACAATAGAACATGAAAAATGTTAGATGTCTGGCTTTAAATTTTAAAATGTCTTTATACTAAATTAAATATATCTGAAAAAATAAATAAGTGCTAAACAAATTTCTAAAAATTATTATTTAACAATTAAACAAATCTCAATGTCTATGAAGTGTATCATTATGATAACACTAGTTAAATTTATAAATTAGTGTTTAACATTTATACTAACACAGTGTTACTAGCCTACATTTCAGTAATTATTACAGACTTTTAGCCTCTAGTAAATTTATTTAATTGTTAAAACATTTTCTAGAATTTCCAGTTATTCATTAGTATTGATTTTTGAGTGTCTGTGTAAAGTATGTAATTTACTCACAAATTACATTATTCTTAAAATAATTTAATAATTGATTTGTTAATTACCAAATAATTTTAATGTTATGAGCAACTATTCAAATATATATTTATGTAAAAATTAATATATATGAATTCATCTATTTGTTGTAATATCATAGAGATTATCCTTTTAAAATGGTTGGAGAATTTCAAATATTTAACCTGCAATTATGGATTAATTTCCTAAATAAATGAAAGGAAGGAATGTATCTATATCTAAGGATTTGTGTAATAAAATATGAAAGAAAATAGATGGATTTAAAAATTATTCTTTAAGTATTCATTAACTTTAGTGTAAAAAAGGATTTTTCTAATCCAGATATGAAATATGTTAATGCATTAGCTTTTACCTAATTTTGTTTAATTGATTCTAATTATTTAACTAAGTTTTGTTACTTCAATTACAAGGGATCATTCAAATATGACATCTGTACTGANAATATATGTATTATTAGACAATTATTATTAAATTTCTATATAAATCTTCTTTTGAAATATCAAGTTCCCTGGCACCGTGCACAGCAAACTTTTGTCTCTAGCATATTATTCATTGGTATTAATGCAAACACAAATATTCTTGTTAGTTATATTAGTGTAAAATGAATCAAAAGCACTTGTTAACATTTTCATTTCTTGCTTGCAAAATTAGATGTTATTATAAAAAAAGTTATAAAGAAAGGCAATAGAAAATATTGTATATGAGGTTAATTAAGAATGTATGTAATACATTATCCTGTAAAAATGGATCAATAAATAACCAGCCAAAAGCAACAACAGCATGGCTGATTGCCCTGGCTGCTTATTTATTGATTCATCCTTATAATCAAATCTTAATAATTTGTAAGAGTTACAAAATTACAATTTTTGCATTACCTATTTTTTATATTCAATTATACCATTTATTTTATCTATTTTAGATAACTTTAATAAACATGATATTAAAGCCAATAAAGCTACAATTTTTGATTTTTATTCTAGTTTAAATTTTGAATTGAAACACTAATTCTTACCATTGCTTGGATCAATAATTAAAGATCCATCTACCCTAAATCCTGCATTTTGTGCAGCCCTTGCAACTGCACTTGCAAAATCAGCATCTGTATAAAATGATCCATCTGTTGAGCTAGCAGCACTAGACCTTGCACTTGTACAAGAGCTATTACTTTGATCAGTGACACTTGCCCAAGATGGAACTAAACCTGTTACCAAAAATTATTTATAATTAGTACCTAATAATTTTATAGGAATTGTTAATAAAAAAATTTTTTACCCTGACTAGGTGCATAATCAGTATCACCTCCAACACTAGATTCTGGACTATGTGGATTATTTCTTAGGCAAATGTCACCTGATGCGTAACCAGGTAGGCCTTCAATATCTGAATCACCATCAAGAGGATGGTATGGACCTACTATAAACAGACAAAATATGCTTATTAAAATATAGTTTTTAAGTTTTGAATACAGAGTGTTTTGTTCGAAAGTACCCAATTTGATTTGGCTATAAAATATTAACAGTTAAAGATATAAGTTCACCGAAGATTTTATAAGAAAGAAAAACTCACCAAATTGCATTTAAAAAATCACCACATCTGTATGTGTGCTCCAGCAATCACAATGACAATGACAACAAGACAGTAGGTAATTTCCTGCTATGTATTCTGCAGCATGTCCTGTCTCACAGTGGGAGTGGTTGAGATGATGTGCTCCTGAAGACCCTTAAGATCTCTGAACAAAGTTGCATAAACTATATTTTTCATGTAAATCACAGAAAAAAATCTAAGGGGTCAGATCAGTATATCTTGGTGGCCATGCTATCAAGCATACTTTCTCCCATGAAGCTATGACTGGACAATAACACTCACAATTCAACTTCTGCACCATCTTGCAGTACGAAAAAAATCTCTATAAAACTTGATGAGTTTTCCCATCAGGTATTACTTTGTTGCTTTTATATATATCTTCACCATTCACTTTTTATGGCAAATTAAAATTGGGGACTTTCGAGTGGAATACCCTGTATATTCTATAAGATTAGTTCTATTTATTCTTTCTACAACTGAGGCTAATCTATTATTGGGTCAAAAACATTTTTAAACACTGCACATAATATTCAGTGAGAAGAAATTACAAGAAAGCAAATATTTTCATCCATGTTTAATGGGCATCATCAAGCTAACTGATGAAAGATGGATGAAAATGTTTGCTTTCTTGTAATTTCTTCTCATTGGATATTGGTTATATGTGCAGTGTTTATTAACATATTCTCAGTTTTGAGTAGTTGAAAAACATTTTTGTTTGTTAATCTAAAGCAAAGAAATTTATTAAAGTGGATTTTTATTGTTTTACTTTATTCCAGTTATTTTTTGCTTATTTCATAAACTTATTAGAATAAATTATTTATTATTTAAATCAAAATTAATGATAAAAAGAAATACCTGTAAGAGGTAAGTTTATGGTATTTTCTGGACCTGATCGCCTTAGTCCAGGACTTGGATTTGAATGAGGTTCACTTATCAATGATGGCAATGATGATTGGATACCCCTATCCATTAGTGGATTAGAACCAAAAGTTTGAGATTGGGAACAAGAAGATGCAGAAGGCATAAGTGGACGTTGATAAGATAAATTTATTCCTGGAATTCTTGCATTTGTCATAATAGGTGGAGTGGGACCACGATCTGCTTCAGCAGCAGAGCGGGTCAATGTGCTACGGGGAGATGCAGTATTATGTTTACTTCCAACTGGTGACTGGAAACCACGTGAAGACAGAGGAGAACGAGACATAGACTGTATACCTCCTGAGATCATCTATAATGAAACAAATTTTTTAAATATTTTAACATAATGATTATTTAATAACACAATAAATTAATTTTAAATTATATTTTTAAAATTTTCAATTGTTACATTCTCAACTTTTTATTTAAAATCAAAGAAATAAAAGTTTAAGTGTAATATATTTTACTTTTAATATGTAATTATTCATATATCATGAGATAAATTATAAATTATTACAGAATTGATTAATTATTATCTAATGACTAGAAGCTATTAATAATATGAAATAGTTACATTATTAATCAGGAATATTAAATTTAAAAAAATGTATATAAAAAAACATATAAAAACAACTTTTGTTTCAATACCTATAAATTATTTGGCAAAAAACAAATTAACTAATATATAACAGCTCTATACAATTTTATATCATAAATATATGAAGAATATAAGCTTATCAATTTGGTAATAAAATTATATCTAAAGAAGCCAATTACATTATCTTTAATATAAATGCTCTTATAATATAAGCTCTTATTACAAGATGATATGATGGAGTTTTGTAATCAATGATACAAAACTGGAAATTTAGCAAGTAAATATTTTTACATAACTGCTTTTGAATGACTAAAACTCAAACAACTATAAAAATAAAAAAAAACTGCTGTTTTTAAGTCACCACTGTAGATTCATTGCATCCAGAAATTTAAATTTATTTTTATATTAATCTATTTATTTAAATATATGTTATCCAAACTTCTACATTTACTGTATTGCTTTTTGATCTTTTTATGCATAAGTGTGTTAAATAGTGAAGAAGTTTTCCTAACCTAACTACAATTAGTAGAAAAAGTTTATTAACACAAAAACTCTTGAGCAAAATAAAAAAAAAGTCAAATAGACAAAAATAAAATTTATATCTACTGTGTAAAATGTTGCTACCAGAAAATTTGTTTCTCTATATTTATCTTTAATTTTGTGTCTGCTCTTCTAAGAGAATTTGCATCTAATTTTATAGCAGTTAAATCATTGATTAACATGACTATCAGTATTAATCAGTGATCAATTTTATTCTTTCAGTTTGTGTCAGGAATGGAACAAAATAAAGAAATGAAACAGTTTTAATAATGAATCATTAGTGAAACATTAAAAATTTACTATTTGCTAATTCTATCAATTTGGATCATTTCTCTCATTCTTATCATTTGCCAAATGCCATATATTCTGTATATATATTTACATATATGTTTCAATGAGATATTTTCATTCTTCTGTTGATCTGTTTAAGAACTGTAATTATAAATTAATATGAAATAGTATATCAAGTTACAATTTGTTCTTATAACACATTATGAGTTTTCTATTAGAAAGTATCTTCTATCAGCATAGAAGACTTTAGAATAAATAAAATAAAGTAATTAAATAAAAAAAAGAATTCTCTCTGGCTGTTCTTTAAACATATAAAATAATAAAAATTATCTGAAAAGTTTAATTTTAGGTTTTTGGAATTTTTTACTAATTTTTGAGTAAATTTGATATTATTCATTGCATTCTTAGAGTTAATAAAAGTAAATAATTAATCTTTATGAAACTTAAATGAAATGTATATAATTTCTAATTTAAAAATAAATTATACATTTACGAAAAATTAATTCTGCAGTATCGAGTATTCTAATTAAAATAGTTAATTTTTAGTCTTGACTTACAAAAGATAATAAATCTTTCATAATTCAGTAGTATGTAATAAATGCATAAACTGGAAATATTTCAGTTATAGAATAAAATAGTGACTTTCTATTTGACTGAGTATGGAAATCAATTTTCAGTTTTAGATTTCTAATTAAAAAGTATATATATAACTTTAAAAAAATATGAAAATATATAATCATTCATTTTAATTAGTGGAATTTTTCTAATTTGTCTTTCATTAAAATGATATATTCAAAAGCAAAATTATTTTATAATATAATTAAAGTTTTATAAACTTTGTAATTCAGAACTAATAAAATATATACATTAATTTATTTCATGTTTCATTATTTTTTTAATTAATAATAAAAATTGAATCAATAGATACAATTATACAATATGATATTTTATACCATAACTGTTAAAATTAATTTTATTACATATGTTAATTATTTAGAAGTTTTGATTCATCTTGTTTTTACCATTATTAATTTTGAATGTTTTCATGAATTTTTGTTAGAAAATAATATTTATTTCTCCATATCAGGAAAGGCAAATAATATTTTTTGTATATTAAAATATTTTTATTAATTTTAAAAAATATATGTATTATATACATATATTACATATACATACATATGTAAATATATGTATTTTTTATAGAATATTTTTATATATTGTTTTAAAAAATAACAGATTCTGAAAGCAAAATGCATAACAAAAAGACATGATTAATTAACTGGGCTTAAGCTATAATCATTTGATACCATTTTGACTTATTTATGATTATATTTAAATGATAAGTGCCACAAAAATTAATGTTAAGTCATTAAAATAATTTTTAAAACACACAAAATAATAAAAACAAAGGTTGAATTCATTTCTGTTAGAAATCAGAATCACAATTTACATACTAAAGAGAGGCAACTGCATATCTATAGTATCTTACATACATAATAATTATTAGGGAATATAATGTGAAAGTAACTACTTAGTAGGATAATATTATAGTGATGATTGTTCCATCCTAGGAGAGGCAACTGCATATCTATAGTATCTTACATACATAATAATTATTAGGGAATATAATGTGAAAGTAACTACTTAGTAGGATAATATTATAGTGATGATTGTTCCATCCTAGGAGAGGCAACTGCATATCTATAGTATCTTACATACATAATAATTATTAGGGAATATAATGTGAAAGTAACTACTTAGTAGGATAATATTATAGTGATGATTGTTCCATCCTAGATGTAGGGAGCAAAATAAAAATCAAAAACATTCTTTCCTCCTAATTATATGATTAAAAATATTAACTTATAATTAATATTTTTTCATTAATATTAAAATATTAATTATAAGTTAATATTTTTAATCATATAATGTAATTGCATTATCAATGTTGGAATAGTTTGATTATTGACACAAACAGCTAGGGTATACAGACATAGGCATTTCATTTTCTTAAATAGTTTTATTTTCTAATAAAGCAACATTTTACAATAAATGATTAGTAATGAATCTAATAAAGGTATCTAGTGTCTCTTAATTGTTTGTTACATTGTTTGATGTTATATAATATACATTACTGGGTGAATGTAAAGCATTTAAAAACAAATATATTAATAGAATATGTTCAAATAATTTTTATTTTATTCGTGACTATTAGCTTTTAATATTAGCATCTGAAAATGAAATAAGAAAGTTATTGCAATATATTTACAGAAGTTAATATTCATGATGCAGCTTAATGTAATTGAGTTCAAAATTTACTAAGAATATTTTTGAGATTATATTTTTCTATCTTTTTAATTCTTTGAACAGTTAGTTATATGTTATATAATTTTTTTGTTTTATTTATACAAAACAAAAAATATGAATTTAAAGTAAACATTTTTCTATAACAAAATTCTGGATAATTTTATATTTATTTAATTTATGAATCAAACAGTCATTTCAGATATATATAATATACTACATATATTTTATAATTTCAGCACTAAGATTAAAGTGCATTTAAAATATGCAAGTTGTTTACAAAGTTAATTTTATATTCAAACTTTAATTTTAAAGAGAGAAAAGAAAAACAGCCATTCAAAAATTCTTCATAGACAATTTATCTAAAAGATTTCAGAATAACCATCCTTATGTTCCTCAAATCAAGTAAAACATATAATTCTTTTTTTTTTTTTTGTTCCTATTTATAAACCATTGAAAATTTGATATGCTTAATGCATTCATTTAATATAAAATAAGTATTGAAGGATAAGAATAGCAACATAGATAACAGTATTGACAAAAATTTTTATTTTGATATACCAGTATGACTGAATTTATGCATGCAGAAATTTTGCCGGATTTCTTTCTGGTGTCACTTGAAAATATCTATTTAATATGATTTTGAATAGATAAATATTTGTTTAGTTCCATTATGATGGAGACTGGCATTTCTTCCCTTTTGTTTATAAAACAGTATAGTTTTTTGGCACATAAATTGGATTTTAAGATTTATTCACTTATTCTTTAAAAATTTTTACATAGAAAAATATTGAAATTTAACTCAGAATTAATGCATTCTTAAGATACCTTATTAATATTATTATTTATTCATTATTTTCTTTTTTTGAATTGTCAGTATACTCTGTAAGAAGTCTTATGCATTTCTATTTAAAATTTTAAGTACTTTTATATTATAATAGACCAATATTTTCAATTTAGGATGTTACAATCTCTCTTAAACTTTTTCTTTCAAAATCTCTGATTAATAGAAATAACTTTTAGAATTTTTACAAAGTTATATTTAATCTTTGGCTGACAATACCATCATATGATAAAAAATATTCTTAACTGGTTACTTGTAATGGTAAATAGTAAAAAACTTTACCAGCAACATTTAATTAGGGTAATTGAATGTTTTCAGCTGTTTTTGCAGCCATCATTAGGATATCAGAATATAACTATTTTCAATTTACAGCATTAAGAATGTAATCATTTCAATTTAATTTGTAGAAGAAAAATTAAATGGAATACCTTTGGCATTTAAATATAAATGTAAATTCAGTACAAAAATAGAAACATGCAGAACAAAAAATAAATAAAATATATTAATATAAAATGTAAGCTCATTTAACTATGAATTCAAAGAACACATATATTTACTTATCAATATTAATAATCACTACTAATGACTTTCAAGATCTTAGACTTTAAACAAAATATTATAGATGAATATTCTTATGGTTGTTTTTGTATTTTTGTATGTATAACTCACGAGGTGTCTGTGTTTAAAAGACAAGTTTGAAAGGGTGGGGAGTTATATGATGGGTTATATACCAATTTAAAATTGCAATTATGAATGGAGCAATCATGCCTGTGGAGCAATGACTGCTTCCATAGGTGCAGGATATATAATGGGGTTGGTTATGCAAAAGTTTTTATTTTCTAGCAAATTTTTCAGGTTATACACTGCCTTGAGTTACAGGTAAGAAAATACAGTAAATATTTAACAAATTGGAATAAAAATAAAGATGTTATTCAAAATTTGGACAGCAAATTTTATAAATTTTCCTAACTTTAAAAAAGAGTGATCTAACAAATGCATTTGACAAAGAAAATTTCTTCTAAAGTGATAAATTGCAATAAAAATGACAACAAATGAAGTCTAACCAATAACAATAGTTTGAATAAAAAAAAATATCATTCAAACATTCAACATTGAAATGGAGGAGAACTTTGATTACATTGGATGATGTCCAAAATTTCAAAAAAGCCTCTTTTATCTAATAACAATAATTTCTATTAACTTTTATATTTTCTCACTATTAACTTTTCTTTTATATTTTCAAAGAATTTCTGAAATTTCTCTCAAAAAATTTCAAGCAGCTAAATAATAAAAATTACATTTAAGATATTAAAAGCACCAACTAATACCTGTAATCCAGTTAAAATGAATCAATTTATTATAAAAACAAATGTTTTCAACTGTGTTTAACAGTCATCTTCAGGTTATGGAATGTTACATAGAACAAAATACAAAGTTAATAGTTTTGCTGTTAATTTTAAGGACTTGTCTTCAGTATTCCATGCATGGAAGACTATTTATGTACTCTTATAATCTTATTTATATTTTTAGTTATTTTTCTTTTTCTTTTTATATTTATTATTTTTATTTGTACTTATGCCTTACATATGTTCTTTATTTAATCCCTGTTATATTGTCTTATATTTTATTTTTTTCAATATTCTTTTATACAGAATGAATTTAACAGGCTCTATTTTATTTAAATTTTGTTTTATGTAACATTCCATAACCTAAAGATGGCTGTCAAACACAGTTGAAAATATTTGTTCTTATAATAAATTGGATCATTTTAACTGGATTACAGGTAGTATTAATTGGTACTTTTCATAAAAGATTCAGTTAAACTATCAATATATTGAGTTTTAAGTACTTGTTTCATGTATTTCAGAAATAATTAGAAGTTATAATATGATGTTTCACATCATCCAGTTTCACAGTATCTTTCAATAAATATTGTTCAAATCACTAATAACTAATTGTATCATATATTATGTACATAAAAACTAGATAATATTATGATGTTTCAAATAAAATAATCTATTCTGTTATTTTTTTCAATAATTTAGACATAAAAACACATCAAAAAATAATTTTCAGAAAACATTCTAATAGTAAATTCTTTANCACTAATAACTAATTGTATCATATATTATGTACATAAAAACTAGATAATATTATGATGTTTCAAATAAAATAATCTATTCTGTTATTTTTTTCAATAATTTAGACATAAAAACACATCAAAAAATAATTTTCAGAAAACATTCTAATAGTAAATTCTTTAAGATAAAAATAAGAGAGATTTGTGCTGTAATGCATAAAAATGGTTATTAAAATTTTAATTTTGAGCCAACTATATTATAATGAAATGTCATCATTAATAATTATGTATCAGATATCTCATTTCAAACATTCCATGTTAGGTATAAACATTGTTACCAAAATGGACATCATATTATAACTTCTAATTATTTCTGAAATACATGAAACAAGTACTTAAAACTCAATATATTGATAGTTTAACTGAATCTTTTATAAAAATAAAACATTCTTTTAAAAAAAATTCTAAGAAACTTTGTGTGAATTTTATAATTTTACTTTCAAACAAGACAAATAAATGGCGCTAGTGATTTAATGAAAAAATATGAAAGAATCGTGGAAACTATATCCTTCAATATCATACTGTCAAAGTTGATTTATTACAATGAAACAAACAAATTAAGAAACATCTTCTTATACAATCTTGAGTTATTGCTACATAATTTTAAAATGTTGGACTCTTTGAACAAAAGTTAATTGATAAAAACAACTTATCAGATTAGATAAAAGAATTATTGTTGTAAAATTGTGTTGAGAACTCAAATATGGAATTTTATGAAATGTAATTGTGTAACTACTGTATATGAGATATATAATTTTCATAATTATTTTTGAAGTACTTGAAATTAACTTTTTATTTTAAAAATCTAGTATTTAGGGTAATTGAATGTTTTCAGCTGTTTTTGCAGCCATCATTAGGATATCAGAATATAACTATTTTCAATTTACAGCATTAAGAATGTAATCATTTCAATTTAATTTGTAGAAGAAAAATTAAATGGAATACCTTTGGCATTTAAATATAAATGTAAATTCAGTACAAAAATAGAAACATGCAGAACAAAAAATAAATAAAATATATTAATATAAAATGTAAGCTCATTTAACTATGAATTCAAAGAACACATATATTTACTTATCAATATTAATAATCACTACTAATGACTTTCAAGATCTTAGACTTTAAACAAAATATTATAGATGAATATTCTTATGGTTGTTTTTGTATTTTTGTATGTATAACTCACGAGGTGTCTGTGTTTAAAAGACAAGTTTGAAAGGGTGGGGAGTTATATGATGGGTTATATACCAATTTAAAATTGCAATTATGAATGGAGCAATCATGCCTGTGGAGCAATGACTGCTTCCATAGGTGCAGGATATATAATGGGGTTGGTTATGCAAAAGTTTTTATTTTCTAGCAAATTTTTCAGGTTATACACTGCCTTGAGTTACAGGTAAGAAAATACAGTAAATATTTAACAAATTGGAATAAAAATAAAGATGTTATTCAAAATTTGGACAGCAAATTTTATAAATTTTCCTAACTTTAAAAAAGAGTGATCTAACAAATGCATTTGACAAAGAAAATTTCTTCTAAAGTGATAAATTGCAATAAAAATGACAACAAATGAAGTCTAACCAATAACAATAGTTTGAATAAAAAAAAATATCATTCAAACATTCAACATTGAAATGGAGGAGANCAAAAGTTGGCTATTTGTATAAAGAAATACTTAATCTGATTAAAGTTATGAAGACTTTTTACAAAAATTAAGTGTGAAAGTTATTAATTTATAACTGGATAAAATTTAATGATTTTAGCAACAAAAATTAAAAAAAAAAGTTGGCAAGAGTTCTTGCATAACATTCCAGCACTCAAACAAAGTTAACAGGACCAGAAAGAAAGTTTGATAAGTTATACTATGGTATAAAATTTAAATAATAACAACAGCTTAGAGAAATTTAAGTGTAAAAGATACTAAAAACCCTACTATTTTTGACCAGATGTGTCATCAAATTGACATAAAAGCATACATTAGACAAAATAAGTAACCTTTATGAATATGGCTTAAATTTAGAATTATATGTGGTGCCATCTGTTATGAGATTTTATTTAAAAATAATATTTTTATTATTAATTAGTATGAAAAAGCAAAAGGCTTATTTTTGAGGGTAGGGGTGAGATTTTTAAAAACGTTGTTAATGCCAATAATAAGTAAAATTTTCATTAAGTCTGATTATTGAGATATGACATGTTGACCCTCCTGTATCTCCCCATTCCTTTGACCTTTAACCACCAAAATTTAATAGCATCAATGCACCATCTACACATAGAAATAACCCTAAGTTTCAAAACTTTTAGTTCATCCAGTTCTGAGATATATACAAATAGACATTGACATAAACACAGAATTTTGTAAGAGTTTTTTTTTTTATATTTTTGGCTCATGGAGCATCAAAATGTCTAGAAAATGCAAAAATCTAGGGGTGTCAAAATTTGACTGATCACTATACTTTGTGTTATATTCTATAACAGCTAGGGATAGTAAAAATATGAAAATTTTAATATAAATCTTTGTTAATAGTATTTTTTGTATAAATATATATAGATAAACATTCTTCTATTAGATTATTAATTGCTTTAGTTTGTAATATCAAATAAATAAAATCCAGCAATGAGTTGCTTAACTTTCCCCACAACATTTGGTAGTGCCAACTATTAACACGATTTACTAAAAATTTTTAAATATTTTTAATTATTATAAAATGGCAAAAAGATTAATTTTGAGGGTAGAGAGGGGTTTTATAAAAAATTGTAATTGCTAATAATAAGTAAAATCGTCATTAAGTCTGACCCTACTGGAGATATACATGACCCCCTTTATCTCCCCATCCTTTGACCTTTAACCACCAAAATTTAATAGCATTGATCCCACTAATATATAAACTTCTGTGCAAAATTTCAGAAATTTTCAACAAAAACCCCAGAGATGTTAAGCTTCAAACTGGGTGAACAAAATCATGCCCCCCCACACACTAACAACCACAAAAAAAAATACCCAAATTTTTCTTGCATTTCTCAACGTTTCACAGTATCCAGAGCCCAAAAGTGTAAAAATCTTTGGGGGTCATTTTTTGATCCCTTTGTAATACTAGTACAGTAAATAACATTTTACAAATCTATCAACAGTTTAAAAATTGATTTTAAAGTACTAAAATTATTTTTGGGGTTATTATTTTAATGTTGAAGTGTCCTTATAAAAGATTTCTTGAAAAAACTCAAAAATTTTATAAAACTTGAAAAATTTTTGTAAGATATTGATTTAATTTTTAAATTAAAATAAAAAGATTTTGAATTATAGTTGTTTGAGATGATTTATATGATGAAAATTTATTGTTACATAAATGAAACTCATTTATTGTTACTAAAAAAGTAAACATAATTTAAAATTAAATATTTATTTTTTATAGGTATTTTCTATTATTAAATCCAATTTTCATTTTTTTATTTCATATTATATCCATTTTTTATGATAATAAATAATCCTTTTTTATTTCAGAAACAAATTCTTTTTAATTGCTTTACCACTTAATAATATTAAAAGCCAAAAATCAATTTAGATAATTTATTTGCTGATAAGAAAACAGTTATTTATTACTGTTTTAAACTAAGCTCCTGTCTTTATATAATTCTTTATATAATTAATTCAAATATGTAAAGATAATACTTGTAATTAGATAAATTTGACAAAAGTTATATTTCATTACTTAAATATAAAATTCAAATTTGAATTGAAATGAAAATCATTAAATTTCTATTTAATAAATCTTTCAAAAAAAGAAAAATTATTGAAATTAAGTTTCTTAAATTTCACTGGTTTTAGCATTAAAAATATTCTACTGTATTTAAACATATAAAAGAATTATTAGTTTCAAAAATGTAGATCTATGAAAAATCATAATTAGTTATAAATATGAATTAATGAATAGCATAGAACTGTTAATCCATTGATTTATCATTAGTTATGATAAATATACTTTGTACAAATATTTCATGTTTTAATCATCATTTGGTCATATATTTTTCATACTTCAAAATTCTTAAGAATTTTAATTAGAATTAATAGAAAAATTTATATTGCATTGATAAAAATAGATACATTAAAATTAACTAACTAAAAGTTTTTATCATCTTAGAATATTTTGTTTGTTTTCTTCTAACAGCATACATGATAACATGATCAATTTTTAATTGTTTTCTTCTTTAATTCAATTGTGTGCTGTATTTAATGTCTATGTTGTTGTAATGTCTATTTGTAACAAATCATCTCTTTCTATAAATAGTTAAATGTGTTTGTATTATTATTAATTTTAATTAAATACCATCGTTATATCTTGCATCTAAATCAAATCCTTTATCAGACTTTCGACTGATTTCGGATCCACTACTTTTTCCATCATGGACCTAAATTTTTAAAAAATATATACATAAATTTAATTTAAATATTATGTAAACTTTAAANATTGTTCATGAACATTTATTATAGTTTATTATTTGATACTGACAAAAATGAATGTTTTATTGTTGATATATCTGAAAATATGTCATTTTTAATTATTTATTTAGCTCTCTTAATACACCATAAATAAGAAATCGCTCCATTATGGATTACAATTGAAAAATAATGCAATTAATTTACAATCATATTATGATTAAGAACAACTTATCCATAAATTAATAATGTTAGTACAAATTACTACAAAACAATTATTAGTATTATTGACATATAATTAATTATGTATTTTATCATTTAAATGCAGAAATTCCATCTCTGTTACTTGACAGTAATTAATTTAAAGTCAGAATTAATAAATATTATAACATCTTCAAAATTTCATTAAACTACTGTAACCAACATTGTATTAAAGTATATTATTTTAATTCTTCAACACAATCATCAATAGACAATTAATGAATTTATTAAATGTATTTATCATCTATATTCATTGTGACTATTCAGCTTTATTTATTCAATTATTATTTTAATTGTGAAAAGAGTATTAAAATATATATATATTTAGCTACATAGTTAATGACAAAATAAATTACTAACATAATGTGTTTTGAGAATAGTAAATAGTATTAAAATATCCAAAACTAAACACATTTTGGAATAAAAATATTTTCAACTCAATAAAATTTAATAACAATAAAATAACTTGTATTCAATTTATTTTCGATTAAAATGAATAAAAACTAATTATTTACTTATTCAATTGAAAATATTTAAAAATCATAGATATAATACATTATTAAATTTAAAAATTAAATATAATATAATAGTATATGAGTTTCTAATACATATTTATGAGTATTAACAGTTTTTCTGCATTAAACTTTGAGTATCATAATAAATTTATGAATGATCATAAAATTAATAGTATTTAATCATTTTTGATTGAAAATGATTAATTTTATGATCACTCATAAATTAATAATAATTGTTTTATTCTGTATTCAAAGAAACACAACATATTTATGAATAATATAAACTTAAATATTTATTAAAAGATCAATAAAAATCTCAAAAATTTTATAAAGAAAGAAGAATTTTTAAATCTTTTGTAATATATGCATCAAATAATTTTATATTTATAATAATATTAAAGTACTGATAATACTTTCATATATTTATTGTTATTTTTATCTTAATTTGACAAAAGGTTGTTTAAGATTCACTTTTTGCTCATTGAAGTTAGCTTTTAGCTAAACTAAGTTATCTGATATGTTTCCATAGAAACTGTAATTTAATTTTGAATAGCTAGTTGTTAAAGTTTCATTGTTGTATCCAGAATAATAATGAATAAAAATATACAGTAAAAATATGTAGCAATCAAGACATAAAATTCAGATTTCAAAAATAACATGTTTCTCTAAATAAAGAAGTTATTTTAACAATGCTTTATTAAATAATGCTTTTCATACATAATAAATTAAAATAAAAAGAAAAAATATGAATAATTTAGTTCTGACAAATTAGGATTGTTTCNATTCTGTCCTCATTTTATTTTATTATCTTTACCTAAATATTATTCATTTTAATTTATGGCATATTTATGAATGATTAAAGATTTTATTTAAAATTGAAAATAAAATGCAGAATTTCATTTATATTGTTTGTCTAAAGACAATCTTAAATTTTTAGCCTTATCACTAAGCCAGCTAGGAAATTTATCATTCTTAGTCTAGACCAGTGATGATAAATCCATGACACAAGTGTTGATTTCAAGATACCTGATTTGAATGTTTATTTTAATAGTTTTTATAAATTATGCAAAGCTTTAAAATTTATCAAATATTTTTTTATGTGTAATGTTAAAACAATGTCCTAAAGGTGTCATAAAATAGCTTAAATGCTACTAATTACAAACCTCAAATAGGAAACTTATCAAATAAATAGTGCAGATTTCCCATTAAACAAAATATTTGATTCCACTATAATCAAATAATCAAATTATTATTTTCTGTTCATTTATAAGAATTTATTATTGTTTGTCTAATTTTTCTGATTAAAAGATTAAATAAAGTAAAATTTATAAGCATTTTTTGTTATTTTTTANTATCTTTACAATAATTATTTTAAAATTTAACACACATAATATGTGAATTTTTAATGCCCTATGTGTTCATAAATCAATTAGATAATGATGAATTTATATACTATATTTCCTTGATTCTAAGATGCACATTTTTATTTAGAGTAAAAGCACGTCTTTGAATCAATGGCATGTTAGAATCAATCAAGGAAATGTAGTATTAAACTAATCAGTTGTTTTGTCATAATCCTCTTGTATCTTACAAAAGAATTTAGTAATATTACATCCCTTCACTTCCCTAAAAAGTAATGTAATCTCTGAGATCAGTTGGTAGTTGGTGACATTAGTTAAAGGTCATTAATCTGTTGGAATTTCCTCAACTTTTTCTTGATCACTTGTTGCGTTTTCTAATGACAATTAGTTTTTCTTTTCTTTCCAAGTATATCTAGCATCTACTTGTTCCAAGTTGGTTTCTTGCCATCTCAATTATGTGTGTGTGTCTCTCATTATTCTGTATAGGTAAATTAGAACACTGTACCTTCCTTACCTAAATCCAAGCATCTCATGAGGGTATAGGCATCTGCAGAAAAATTTTTAGGGTAACAAAGCTTGGAGACAAATTACATCAATACATTATTTAATTTTTAAAATTTTTGGGTTTATCACACACAGATTATAGAATACAGTATTGCATCAATACAAAAAATAGACAAAAGCATCCTATGGTTGTAAGGTTACATATCTCAATCACTTTTACAATTATAATTTGTGGGATTTTTTATTAGATCCCAAGGGAGGCATGTACCCCATTTTCCCCCTCAGTAAATGCCCATGGTTTAAAGATTATAATTTGGACTATAATTTTGTTTGTCTCTTGATAAGTTCTTTTCAACTACATAATCCTTCAACTTGAATTTCCAATATGCTATTTTAAGTATATTATTACACTCTGAGTCATAATTTTCTATGTTTATGTTTAGACATCTGAGCAGTTTTTTGTCCATAATCAGTTTTTTTATTGCTTTTAAATCAAAATGCTGTATAAGCAAAAATGTTGCTAATTTGAGATGCACATTATTTTCAATTATCATCTTCAATATTATTTTCAAGCTTTTCTTCATTTGTTCAGTCCATGTGATAAATGCTCAAAAGAAGCTATTGTAAAATCATATATTCAATGTAAATGTCTGTTATCATCCATAAATTCCATCTAATGTGAAGGATCTGCTATTATCTGACACTAAATGTTAATTATCACATTTAGCATCAATGAATGATATTTTGCAGAATCTTGATTTCCTTTGTTACCAATGATCTTACAGTTTCTATTTTTAACATTTTTAAAATGTATCTGTAACAAACAAGCTACCTTAGAATAAGTCTGAAAATTTCAGATAACTTTTATCAGAATTGTTTAGCACTTTCTATGGTGATGCACTTATTTTTTTGTGAAATGTGTTTATTGAGTCATCAATTCTGATATTTGTAGACCATGCTCTTAATATCCTTGTCTAATCTCATGGCTATACATACTTATTAGCAAATGTTTGCAAGGATGCTCCTAGAGAGGGTCCGAGGGGTCCTGGTAACCCCAAAGCAAAAGGATGAAACACTAGAAAACTTTCCCACCTCCTAAAGCTCATAGTATTTTTTATAAAGTGTTAAAGAATATTCATGCCAAATTTGGTGAGGATACATTGATGGTATCCTTTGCCTATCTGGATGGGGAAAGAACAACATAAAACATACCATGATTGAAAACCAGCTCTAATAAATAAATGCCAACTTTACCAAGCATCTGTCCTTGACATGGTGAATGCCAGAATGATGGGAAATTGAAGTTGTTTGGTTGTAAAAGGAAAAGTGTTATTGCTTGGAATTAATAGTATCTGAGGAAGCATGTGAATGGTTTACTCGTCAGGATCTCAACATTAATTGTGTTGTTGAACAAACCATATATAACTAATCTCATTCTATTAACCAACTGTTTTTTAGTGTCAGGGTTCCTGATGAGCATGACTACAGCTCTGATCTTTAATTTTAACTTGAGTGGTGGAAGTCCAAATTACTCCCAAAGCCCATCCCTCTTAACTTATTATATATGTTTGTTAGTTAAAGGGTTCTATACTATTCAATATATCCACATCAAATTTGGCATGAATATTCTCCAAAACCTTATAAAAAATACTAATATTCTACAAAAAATACTAATAACCCAATATCACCAATCCTCCACTCACTAAAAAGCCCAAGCAATGCTAGGCACTTGCAACTAATTATCATTCTATTAGATTTTTCTTAGCAACATTTCAATTATTGGGACAAAAACTTAATGCCTGTTTCTTAGCACATCTGTGTAAACTAAAGCACAAGATAATTACATTAAAAAAACTTTATATTTAATTCAATATATGAAATAGTTCATTACTTGAGTGTCAATCTATATATATATTGAAGAAGTCAGGCCAGTGGGATCACGTTAACCAGGGATAGGTGATGAGTTCATTTTCACTGTTGGAGTAGTGAATTGTGCACACAATATGGGACTATGAGTAAGAAAAACTTTTCATTGTTGGGTTTTGAGTGGATATAAAAAATAAGGTGTATCTGTTGTGTACTCATTTCTACTCTAATTTTTGTAGTGTGATATAAAGTGAAAATATATACATATGTTTGGGAAGGGGACAATTTACCAGTACAAGAATATTTGGGCATATGTCCTCTTTATCCTTTATGGATCAATGCCTATGGTTTCTTTTCATAATTTCATTCACAACAATATTGTGATAAATTATCTATATCAAAATTTAATCATGGATACATTTTTATAATTACCATTATATTACATGGATACATTTTTATAATGTATCCATGTAATATAATGGTATAATATGATAGTATTGACACAAGAATTATTAACTGATAAACATACCGTATTATTTAGATATAAATTACATATATTTTATATTAATATATCTTAGAGTATCAAATATTTTGTAACCATACATTAATATATTACTAAATTTTCAATTGTGTATTGATTGGTGCAGCCAAAATAAAATAATTGGTGTGGAAAACTGATACCAAAAGAAACAGTTTATAAAATTCATTTGTCCAGTTTTTAAATGTGTTTAATGAAAAAAATGTTTTTTTTTTTCCGAAAGCAAAATTCCGAAAGCAAAATAGATGAATTTAATATTGCAAACATAACAATTAAAATATAAATAATGCTGAAATTATATATATATTTTTTATCTGTTATTTATAAANTTATTATGTTTTTTGATGCAACAAAAATTAATACAATTATTTGCAAAATGGGTACCTAATATGACATAAATTTATAAGTTCAAAAAAAAAATGTTTATTCTCAGTTTAAACAGAAATAAAATTTCCTCGGGAAATGTAAATTTACTTTATTACAATGCTATGGAATTGTGGAATTTAAAGATAATTTTAGTAATTAAATAATGTTTCTTGTAATAGAAAATTAAAGAGAATCTTCTATTTTCAACAATATATATTTCTAATTTAACAATTATTTCAAAATATTTATCTTTCCAAAATAACTTTTAAATTTGGAAATACATTACATTTCTCAAAAATTCTTCAAATGTTTTATTTAGAATAATTTAGAAATAATACATGAAAAATGTAAAACCTAAAGATTTTGGGATCATTTGAATTCTATCTTCAAGAATAACAATTCAGGGTAAAAATTCAAGAATTTACAAATTAAGATCATCATTTATCCATCTGTACTGCATTCTGTTACCATAGTAATGGAGTTATTTCATTTCTATAGCAACCATATGCAAACAAAATTAAATTAATTACATAATGTTATACATTTCTCATAAAATAAATTCCTTTAAATTACAAACTATGCAAGCTTGTTATATAAGAAGCCATGTAAGAATATCTCAATATAAATATAAATCATATTGATATTTTTCTCCTGTGTAGTTATCTTTCTTAATTAATTTATTTAGTGAAATAGAAATAACTTATTTATATTGAGACTAGTGATTTCAATTCTCTTTTTAATTTTTGTTCCATCTAACTAAAATAATACACAATTCTTTGACAGTTTTTAAATTTATTTCACAAGAAATTTTATATAAAATCTTGGCATTTTTCCATTTATTTTATATTTCTAGTAATTGTTTTACTCTTGATTTACAGAATTTTCTTCATTTATATTCACTTGTAATGTAATAATCTGTTTATTATTTATATTAATAGTTGGTACTACAGTCTTGGCAGCCTATGTCTTTAATTTTATTTATTGAATGTAAAGAGAAAAAAAGAGCAGTTACAATACAAGATTTCTATTAAATAACACTTTCTTATTAGTTAGTTTTTCAATTTATTTTCCAAAATGTTCTAGATAAGTTAGAGATAGAAAAGATTGGATATCCACTGATTGGCAATCTCTTCAACTCTAACTTTTTCACTTCTTCAGTCACTATATTTTGACAAACTCTTCTCACAAAACTAAATTTCTTAAAAGTTTTCACATATTGTTTATAAATTATTTTTAAAAAAACATTTATATAATAAATTTTAAAAGAATTTTATCAGANAGCATATATTTTAAAGATAAGAAATTTAAAAATGTTATTAATTTAGGTATCTGATTTTTGTAAAACAATTCTCTACATTTTCTAAAATTAATCTATTGATTTTGTTAGTATCAGTGAATCTGTAATATTCATAATCTTAAATTTAAATAAACTAATCCCAATAAAAGTTAATGTGATAAATTTTAAGAATTAAATATCTCTCACATATATATGAATCATGTCATGAAAATTTGATGTGCTTTAAAGAAGTTTGATATATATATAATCATAAACTTTCTAATGCACATTGATATAGACTATAATTCATTAAGGCTAACTAATTTTTTTTCTGCATAGATGTATTATTATAAGTAAGTATAAATAATTTTCTTTAAATCTAGTGATGTAATATTTTGTTCATAATTTACTACCAATCAACATTAAATTCCTGCTTTTAAAAACAAATTCAGAATTCTTTGTTCTAATTCATGTACCATTAAAGTTTAAAAATGTTCCATTTATAGAACAATCCAATGAAATGCTATTAAAAATAACAACTAATGTTTTTGACTAATGATTATTTTCTTGAAGTTTGATGAATGCTGATTTACAGGTTTCTGTCATTATTTGTTAATCAATTTTTTTTTAAGGTTATATAATTTACCAAATATACTCTTAAATACCAATTACTTCAAAAATATAAATAATTAATAAAATAAATGATAATTAGTTTTTGAGTAAAACTTTCTTACTGAAGACAAAATTTTTGTTTTTGTTGTTTAAACATTTAAAGGATTCATGAAATTCAGATATTTTAGAATTCTTTAGTGCTAATCACTCATTTTCTTTAAAATTTTGAGGATATTCTATTTNATCAAAAAATTACTTAAGTTTAGTTAAGTTTACTGAAAACATTTAATACTTACAGAACCACTTAAATGTTTCTGAACAGGTGGATTAATCAATGTTGTAGTGGCATAAGGTGCAGGTATGGATGGAAGTTCTTTCTTATAAAATGTTGTCATATTATGTGTATCTACTTCTGCATAATCAGGAGCACTGACACTACATAATAGGGGAGAATAAACACTGTGATAATTTAAGAGGGAAGCATCTTAAACAATTTATTTACTAATTTTATTTCTAAACTAATCCATTTTTAAATATTATGGCATGACAAATGCAATTAAAATTTCTGGAGTGTTAAATCTCTTTTACACAAAATTCCTAACGTCTGCTAATAATTTATTTTTATCACTTAATCTTATGAAAAGTTCTAATATTTTTATATTTAATTTNAAAATTTATGCATAATGTAATTCTAATAGATGGTAAAGATAGTACTTTCCTTAGTTTTTCATTTTATTAACTTTATATCCATCATAAATCCAATCAATAAAGATTAATAAAATAAGAGAAATTCCTAAAGTAGCATTTTTTTTCCCTTCTATATTAAAATGATGAAAGATATACCAAATCAAAGAACTGATTAGCAAAGGAGTATGTCAATTTTTCTGAAACTGAGATAACTGGATTAAATACAATATTAATTTAAAAACTCGAATTTGTATTAGGATAATTTCAATTTTTTTGGTTAATATTAAAAAAAATATGAAATTAAATTAAGTTTATACTGCAGACTGATTTGACTTGATGTAATTTTTATTGAAACAAAATATTTATCTCTATATTAAACTGATCATAGCAATCTGAATAACATATTAAGTCTAATCATTCAAACAACTATATTTCTGTTACTATAATAATAACTAAATTACAGAAAATAGCCTAAAAGTAGGCAATTAATATCTTAGTACATGATAATAGTTAGGCTTTATAATAGTATATGCTTTATAAGTTTATAATAGATAATAAAGTTATGTTTATACAATTGCTGTATTATTAAAAATTAATGTCTTGTAAATATTTTAAAACATAAATGCAATTTAAAAAATCTTAGATGCATTTTGCATTTATGATATACTGTACTATCTTATTGATTTAAAATCCAGTATTCTATATAATAAAAAATTCAATCATTTTCAAAATCTGTAATTTTAATATCATTAACAGTGAATTTTAATTAGGGAACCAACAACTGATGAAAAAATAATTATTTTCTATATGACATTAATGTTAACATTGTTTTAATGTGATGTTATTATCTAATCTTTTATTGTTAGCAATCAATCATGCTCCATGCATAAGGCCAACAGAATTACCATCAAAATCTTAAAAATTCAATAACAAATCTGATCTCTAATTTCTTAATTTGGGATAAGTTACTTCATTATTACAAAGTTCAATATGTCTAGAATTACATTTCTGTAATGAATATGTGATGAATGAAAAGATGAAAAAATTTGAACCAAATTAAGATAAAAAGTATTATGAGAATTTATAAATTTATTCACAGAAATCTATATCAATGCAAAACAAATTTGATTATTTTATCATATATTCTGCATCAGATTTCATTATAAATTATTTTGTTAATATAATTTTTTAACATTTTTCATACAGAAAATTTTTAAAAAATTATTAAAATAATAAATTAAGGCAAAGCCATACTTCTTAGATTTCTTATGAAAGACTACTAGCTCTAGCTATAATATATTTATAAAAATATTTTTAGAGTGAATTGCTGATTTAACACATTTTCATATTAACTTCAATTTTTTTTTAAAAGATGAAATAAATAATATATTTAAAATTAATTTCTAGAAAAAGTATTATATGTTTCTGATATTTCTGATACATCATAAAAAGATTTTTACCTAATGTCTTAATTACATCTGAAGTAGGACTGGGAAGACTTAAACCATGAGAATTTTCAGCACGAACTAAAAATATATAACGGGAATCAGGACGTAAATTTTGAACTGCATATGTTTCTCCTGGAACTCTGTGTGCTGCTGTAACCCATCCACTTTGTAAATCACTACTGTAATATTCCACTATAAAAAAAAATCACATTTAAATTATATTAATTAACAATAAATTATTTTAAAATATTAATTTCACTTTTTCTACAAAACTTTAATTATTATTCTAAATAAACATAAAACTAAATTAGTGTGAAAAATTTACTTGTAATTGCAATACTTTTCATAGTTAAAAGTATTTTTAAGACTAATTTTTCAGAAATTTTTAAGATAAAAATACTTAATCTTAGATTTTACTTTAAAAGTATCATATTATGTAAAAACTATAGTTTTTGTCATTGGAAAAGAGATAAAAATAATAATTTATTGCTATTTCTTTATAAATATTTCATTTTTTTCTTTTTGATATTATGTAGATAATGTAATATAATAATGTTTTGGAATAATGATTGCTTTCTTTATTATGTTTTACTTTTTCAGTTATAACTTAATTTTAAATAAACATATTTCCATTTATGTAATTAAAATAGGAAGAACACATAATATGTAAGAATTTGTTAATTTACCCGTATATCCAATTAGAGACGACCCTCCTGTCTTTGAATTCCGATGCCACATCAAAGTTACCAAAGTTTCAGTAATATTCACTGCCGTTGGCTTAGAGGGAGGACCAGGAAATGTGGATGGATCGGGTGTTCTGTGAAATATCACATTAGGATTTCTGGGAGCTATAAATTGTAATTAAATAAAAAATTTATTCAATATAATACTTTTATATCAATTTTCATCTAATGTGGAAAATTTGTTATATTTTAAATTCAATTATTGTATATTTATTATAACTTTGAGATTTAAAAAAAAATTAGCAGAATTAATTACATTCAACTGCTAGAGAAGCACTCCATGATGTCTCTCCACTTTCACTAGATGCTGTACATGTGTACATTCCTGAATCTGATGGTTGTAAATCTACAATGAAACATTTTTATGAGTAATTCATTAAATAAGAAGCAATTTCTAAAGATAACAACAAATTAAATTAGTAAATGTAATAACTTATTTGCAGATAAACAATAATGCTTTATTTATAAAAAGGTAATTTTCATTAAAGCATTCTGCACAATATAACAGTAATATAATTGCATTTAATATTTTTCTATATAAAATNTAAATTATGTAATTAGTTTATAAAGTTAATGCTTTATTATACAATTTCTATTGTATAGAAATCTTAGAGATCATTAGATTTACCTGGAATAATTAAGATCACTGGATGAATCTAATTTATTCAATAGTTTTGTTTCACTCATACTATTCCCTTTACCAGAATCAGCAGGTCTCCATGCCTGATTAATCCACAGAGCTTCACGAGCATTAACACCAACTCTGAAAGTAAATTAATAAAATTAATTGATGTGCTTTAATATCCAGACTACAATTATCATTAATCTTACTATTGTTGAAATTTATATTCATAACAATTAAAATATTTATGCTACAGAAATATTATGTGTAAGTTACTTTTCATGTATGGAAGTGACTTAATAAGTGAAACAGTCAACAAATTCCATTAAAATATTACTACATAATGGTTTAATTTATCTTTTATAAACCTAAAACTAAAAATCAATTTTTATGAAGTAATTTATAAAAATTATTTTGTAAAAAGTTTTACCTGATATCTTCTGCTTTATGAACTGGAACTATAAATAATTAATATTGTTTTAATAAATAAATAGAAGCTATAATAATTTTAGTCAAATATAAAGTTTTTTTGATATTAATGACTTTACCTGTTAAGTGAGCCCCAAGGGCTTTCTGCCAAGCTAATCTACGACGTAAAAATATCACTACAAAAAAAATAGAAAGTAGCAGACAAAGCAATCCTCCAATTAATGCTATACACCAGGGTTGTCTAAGTATGTCATGAAAGTTTGATAATGAGGTAGCTGAAGGACCATTAGCTAATTGATTATGTAATAAACTTGGATCTGCAAATATTAAATTTGAAATATAAATAAAAATATTTCATAAAATTATTTTCAAAATACAATAAATTATTTTATTCATTATTTTTTAAAAATGAATATAAAGATAAGCTTTTTTACCCATTCTTAAAGACACAGATGAAGTAAATGGTCCCATCCCAACAGATGTTCGTGCAACAGCACGTATTGTATAAACAGAACTAGCTGTAAGATTGTATAAAGTAAATGATGTAGTTGTAGCATTGGTTGTTATATTAGAATGGAGTGAAGAGCTGTTCCCCATTATATGAATCTGTAAAAATAATTATTATTACCTTATATTAATAATAATAATTTTATTAAATTAATAATTTTAATCTCTTATACTTACAGTATAACCTTGTAAAATGCCATTACGATGCTGAGGCGGAGGTGGAGACCAAGATACTGCTGCACTAGTCATGTTAATTACTTGAACATGTAAATTATCAGGTGGTGCAGAAGGCACTAAAACAAAAAATATTAATTTAAATAATATCAAATTTATTAATTTATATTTAAAAGATTATATATTACCATCTTCTAATGTTTGGGCACTTTTTGAATTGCTAGGTGGACCCTCTATGCTCTTATAAAATGGAACTAAAAAAAATTCATACTTGGTGAATTTTCTTAAGTCAGTAAGAACATAAGAAGAGGCTCCACCATTTAATACTGTGACCATGTTATATTTCTGTGATCCACCAGTCAGATCTCGAAATCTAATATAGAATCCTTCAACATATTCTTGTCCACCCTGAATCTAAAACAGATTGTTTAAAAATTTATTGACATTAGTATAAATCATTAATTTTAGCAATATATGTAAAAAAAATTTCTCTTTATTAGATAATCAATTATTGATTTACTTTTCCATGTCAAATGATTTTCTTGTTTAGTGAGAAAATCAAATTTTAAAAATCATATTGATGACTTACAATAATAAACAATATTTAAATAACAATATAAAGTGAAAAATAAAATGAAAAATTTTATTTATTTATAACATTTATATTAAAAAATTACATAAAAAGTATATATTAAAAATGTTTTTATACTTTCAAATTGCATTAATAAACAAATATATATATATATATATATGAATCATGTCATGAAAATTTGATGTGCTTTAAAGAAGTTTGATATATATATAATCATAAACTTTCTAATGCACCAATACCAAAAGCGCTCAGCAACTAAATAATAATAAAGAAAACACCTTTTTTTGCCGAGAAATAAATATAATTTGCAAAAACAAACGTTTTCAGCCTAGTTAATAGGCCATCTTCAGGTCGAAAAAATGGAACGCAAATGTTCCATAAATAGAACATAAAAATATTTAAATCAAAAAATTTTACAAGTAAAAATAACGGAAGAATATATAAACAAATTAATTAATTAATTAATTAAAACAGAAATAACATAAATCTTCAGTGGATTAATTCTGGTCGAAGTTTCTAGT